TCCTCGCCGTCTTCGCCGTCTTACTCCAAGCAGCGTCGGGCTCCATGTTCATCATCGCATACAAAGCATACTTTCTCCAGATGGCAAAGGTGTCCGATCCATTCGCCATGTCCAACGTCCTGTCCGCCATCAGCATAGTGGCCTTCATCGCAAACTCCTTCATCGTGGTACGTTACGGAAACAGGCGCGTGCTTCTCATGACCGGCCTACTTGTCTGCGGCATCCTCCAACTCATCATCGCCGTCGTATATCACCAAGCGCCCAACGCAAAGTCAACCGGGAAAGTTACAGTTGGTCTAACCGCCATCTACATGTTCAGTTACAACGGCATGATATCAACTTACGCCTGGCTCTCCGGTGGCGAACTCCCTAATCAGCGTCTGCGCTCCCATACATTCGGTCTAGCTGCCAGTGCCGGTTTCGTGGGCGCATGGCTCACTACATTTACCGCACCATACTTTATCAATCCGCAGTCTATGAATTGGGGGCCAAGATATGGTTTCATTTGGGCGCCGTCTTGTGCAATTGCTGCTACATGGGTGTTCTTCTTCCTTCCTGAGGTCAAGAATAGGACATTAGAAGAGATTGATGAGATGTTTGAGGCTAAGCTACCTGCGAGGAAGTTTAGTAGTTACAAATGTGTGGGCGCTGCAAGGCACGATGATGAGGGCATGGGGAGGAGCAGCGTGGAGAAGGAAGTTGCTGTATTTCAAAATGAGAAGGTTGCTGCTGAGACAAGTGTGTCGAGGGATTAGATCAGTGTACGGTGAACGTGTAGACAACCGTCAAGAGTGTGTAGGTATAGGTGCGAAGTCGTTTGTCGGGTATCTCAATATATTGTTACGCTCCGTCACGATTTATCCTCAACCAAGTATTCGCTCAATAACATATCGTCCGCCAGGCTCTTTTCTTTGCACCACCTTTCTAATGCCCAAACCCCATCCTTGGCTACCCTTCTCACCCATCAGGCTCATCTCGACCTCACACTCCCGCTTATCCTTACTAATCTCTACAATCTTACCCTTCGGCTTACTTGCTTGTAGTAACGGTGTGTTGAGCGCAATATTGATAATCTGTGGCCTCGTAACAGGTGTTAAAGGATGCATGCGCGTCTTCGGTGTCCGACTGCCAGTAATCGTGGATGTTGCCGCGCGCTGGAGATGCGAGTAGATTATATATCCTGGCATCTTCGCTGGTGGCGTACGCGCAAGTATAGAAGATGGGTGCAAGAAGACGTATTTCGAATGTGGATCGTCCGAACGCTCTAATTGTGAGGAAAATAGCGTGACGTATGGCACATCGATGGCAGTCTTTGGCTTCCTCGGAAGCTCAGGAGGTACAGGAGCAAGATCAGCGCGCATAGCAATCTGGTCGATGAAGCCTGCCGCGCATATCTGAGTAAGGAGATTAATATTTCGCTCTGAAGGTGCTGGAAGTTTTGGGTTGTACGTTCCGATGGCGGTAGGTCGATGTGCACGAACGATATTGGTGAGCTGGTGACGGAGCTGGCTAGCTTCATTCATGGATTTGGGATTGAGGAACATGTCTTCGCAGAATCGGTGCGCGTCAGGCTCGTATGCGTAGGCACAGATTGCGTTACTGAGCTTGATGCAATCACTCTGCTTCGCGTTGATGCTCATTTTAGCCTGAGCCGCGTTGTAAGCTTTGCGCAGCCGTGAGCGCTCTTCGGCTTCGATGTTGTCCTGATCTGTACGAATGGCGTCAGGGTCTCTAGTTGGCTCACGAAGACCCAGATTGTTTTCCGGCACAATGAGTTCCGGCACAGACAAAGCCGCTACCAGTGCGATGGTCTCAGCTGCGAGGTTCTGCGCAACACCCATAGCGACCATACGAGCGAATCGCGGATTGAGAGGATACAACGAAAGTTCGTGACCAAGCTTGGTAACCTTGCCGTCCAGAGATAGTGCCCCCAGATACGAGAGCAGGTTCTCAGCTTTTTGCAGACTCTCCCTATCTGGTGATGTTGGAAAAGGGAAGTTGACAACAGGTGCGCCCATGCTCTTCAACTGCAGCACTACGCCCTCCAGGGGTGTTCGTGAGATCTCAGGAGCTGCATACTCATGAAAGTCTCGCTCGAACACGGCCGATGAGTATAAGCGATAACAGTGACCAGGACCGGTTCGGCCGGCTCGACCTGATCGCTGGTTGGCGCTGGCTTTGCTAATCCATCCTACTTCGAAGCTTTGAACGCCAGTAATGAGATCGTACTTCTTTTCCTTGGCTCTTCCGCAATCAAATACGTAGCGGATACCAGGTATCGTCAAACTGGTTTCTGCGACGTTTGTAGCAAGGACAATTAGACGAGAACCATCGGGAGGTGGCTCAAACACCCGCAGCTGCTGATTTGTGGGCAGCTGGGAGTAAAGAGGTAGAACATGGACATTCATGACGGTCTCCTCCGGTTTTTCGTCCTCGATCTCGAATTCTTTGTCGTCCTCATCATCAAGTCCCATGATTACAGAGCCTTCCGAATCCGAACCATCATCGTCTAAGTAGTCCTGGCTTTCGGCCTGCCCACCTAGCTCAATGTCTTCTGCTTCTAGCGGCGTCTCTGCCGGAGAGATCACGACTTTGCCAGCCTTCACCTCCCGCCCCTGTGTGGAAGGAAAGGCTTCCTTCAATCGCTTCGCGAGTTGCGAGATCTCGTTCTGACCAGTAAGGAAGACAAGCATTCCGCCCTTTGGCAGCTTTCGATGACCCCTGCACACCTTGCGATACATCTCCTCAACATAGTCTCGTTGTGTGCGACGTGAGAAGTGGTTTACAACAGTATACTGACGACCCTCTGCTTTGATCAGAGGAGGTGGCTCGCTTCTGAACAGGCGTTTATTCTCCGTGAAGTCCGAAATGCGTAGAGTAGCAGACATGATGATCAGCTTCAGAGGTTTATTCTTTGGGTCTTCCTTGACCATCTGTGCGCGGAGATCCACTATCCTGCTGAGCATGCCAATGAGAATGTCGGTGTTCACACTGCGCTCGTGAGCTTCATCGATGACAAGCGCAGAATACTTTGTCAGTACAAAGTCTTGGGTGATCTCTCGCAGCAACACACCATCAGTCATGAACTTGATAGCGGTTTTGGCACTCGTTGACGTATCGAATCGGATCTGGTACGCGACTTTCGTACTTTGGTCACCAAGTTCATCACCAACACGTTTGGCCATACTGACAGCAGCTACACGACGTGGTTGCGTGACTCCAATCATACCAGGTGTGGGGCCATCTGGTGCTCCATATCCAGACTCTAGGAGAAACTGGGGCACCTGCGTGGTCTTACCACTACCGGTGGCACCCCAAACTACCACCACGTCGTTGTTGTGTATAGCCTCCATAATCTTCTGTTCTTCCGCTACAATGGGAAGCTTCAATCTTGATTCCTGTATCTCGGACGATCGTTCGACGTTGACGCTGAAGGCCTTCCGTATCCCGTCGGTCGCAGTTTTCGTCTCGAGTTCTGGGGGTAGAGGATCTTGCTCGGGAGCTCGAGGTTTGAAATTGGCGGGAATCGGTGCGTAAGAAAGTTGGTTTGTCGGGGTAAATCCTACTTGCTCATTCCTTTGCTGCGTGGCCCATGCTTTGAAAGCTGATGCCCTTTCCTTCTTTGCGACCTTGTTTTCCTCGTCAGGACTTGTGTCGCTATCCTCATCGCTGTCGTCCTCCGAGTCTTCAGAGTCTCCAGATTCGTCTGACGCTTCGGATCCTGAAGTTGATGCTTCTTCTTCAGAGTTTGAGCCAGAGTCTTCAGACTCAGCACCAGAAGGCTCTGACTCGTCCTCATCATCCTGCTCGTTGTTCTCACTACCCGAGCTGAAGCCCTCCCATGCTACCTCATCTTCAACCACGACAGGTTTGTTGCTCTGACCTTTCCTGCGCTTTCTTACTTGTATGACGGGTTTGCCTGACTCGTCAACCTCTAAAGGCCTCTTCAGGCCGCTTCCAAAGAGTCCACCAGTCTGCCTTGGGGCCGCAAAGATTCCCGTAGTCGGTTGAGAGACGTCGATTTCAGGCTCGGAGGGTGACGGTGACGGTGCGCGTTCTTGTAAGGGCGCGTCGGATTGCGCTGTTTGCGAGGGTTGTCGTACGGTTGGTTTCGAAGCAGATGCCGGTGCTTGTTCATCGTCGTCGTCGTCATCGTCGTCGGAGCTGTCGTCCTTGACTTCCCTGAAGTCGCGCTTCTCAAGAATCATGCCCTCGTTCTTTTCTACATCTATGCCGGCTCTACTCTCGGCCAGCGCCCGCCTCAGTGCCTCTCTCTTGGTATCCGCCCCTCGACCAAGCTTCTTGGAGCTTTGGAACAAGCTGGTGTCGACCTTTTGGGATGCGAGCTTCTTTAGAAGTTCAAGGTTCTCTTCTTTCTTGAGTTTTGTGTCCTGCAAAAGTTAGTCCTGAAGTTCTTCACACGGCAATCCCAACGCGATGTGGCCGCAAAAAGTGTTGCAAGCCACTCCAGACGGTGTCTCGACGTACAATGTACTTGTCGAGGCGCTTCTTCTTCTTGCCGCTCATCTTGCCCTGTGACTCTCGTGTGAGCTCATCCTTGAGCGCAGCCTTTTTCTGAGCGCGCTCTTGCTCCTCCTGGGGCAGAATCTCGGTCGCATTGGCGTCGGTAGTGGCATCGTTCGCCGGCGTCTTGCGACGGGCCAAAACTTTGTGTTTTCGCTGTCGCGGCACAAACTTGGGCATTTTGGTGGTTGCGGCGTCGAGGACTGCTCGCGGCGCCCGAAAGTTTTTGGTGGGGATCAGACGCTAGCGGGCGAACTCCGCATCACTCCCGCGCAAGTTGAGTGGGCTGTTGGCCAGAGACGCAACAACACAAACAACGAGGCACACAAGAGCAGCTCAAATCACCATATTACTAGCACGCATACATTCTCGGTAGTTGGCGAACACAAAGCACTAAGCCCGCACTCCAGCGTGATACTTTTACGGTCGCAGCTGCCCCTCTGCACCAGACATACCACCGCACGAACACAAACGCAATGGCAGCACCCACCACTTCAGACGACTATACCGTGACGCCTACCCCATACCCAGCGCGTACCAGCACGTCCACCTCGATAATCAAGAGTATAAAAACCACAGCAACGACGGTCAATTTTGCGGACAAGATTCTCATCACTGTCACGCAAAATGGACGATTAGCACATTGGGTATGCTCATTTATACTATACATCGTGATGACGTTTGCTGATACTGCCTAGGTACATGTACCTCTCGATATCTCTGCAACCGATGCTTCGATGACTTCGAATGCCTCGCTTGAACGCGACGAAGACGATCCCAACTCAGACCTCCTTCCTATGCATCATCTCACGGCTACAAATATACTTGGCGGTACGATAGCGGAGCTTGATGTTCTTGGACAAACGCTCGCGACACAGATTGCCAGTGCTATCAAACAGCGCGATGACAGGGAAACCAGAATGGTTGTGGTTGGTATGGGATTGGACAAGAGCATGGTTGGAAGAGAAGCATTCAGCGAGCTGATTGGTCTTGTGCTGGGGGTCATATAAGAGGTCGCCGAATTCGTATTGCTTTAGTCTATGCAATGCTCGACGTGATGAACTATGGGATCATGTGCCCAAGCGTTCCTTCGTCAAATCTCGGGTATGTCTTCCGCCCGTCCCCTATGTTCAACCTTTTTCCCTCTATGCGCCGTTTCATGCTGACATTCCAAGTACCGTAACGCCAACCCAATGCAATCCAGATCCGATGCGGTTATACACTTTCGCGAAGTTTGTTGATCAAAACGTCGACTGATTCCATGTCGTTAGCGTCCAACTTTTGTTGGGGCTTGAACTCGGCAGGCATGTGCTCAACGGCGGCATCGAGCGCGGCCTGGAAGTTGCGAACGGATGACGAAAGGGCGAAGATGGCCTTCTTGCGGACCTTGTTCTCGACATCTGAGGTTGCCATACGAACGAGGGTAGGGATAGCGCCGACTACAAGGAGCTGAGACCTGTTAGCATGGCCCATAGGCGCGCAGGATTGAAGACTACTTACCCGTTCTTGTGTTCTGATGTTGTTCTGGACGGCAGTACCGCAACACCATGCAGCGTAGCGTCGGAGTTCAGCGTCTTTGTTCTCCAGTTGTTCCACAAGAGGCGTCCACAGTCCTAGGCTCTCGATGTTGTTCGCGTTGTCGAGGTTCTCAATGAGTTGCTCAAAGTTGTCGAATGCGGTTACCCGGTGCTCCAGTTCTGCCTCCTCGTTTTGAATGACTTGCATACTTTCTTGCATCAATTGCGCATCCGAGGGACCTGACACTCCAGTCATGAGCCGTTGCAGCGCCTCAGCGTCGAGTTGTGGCGGCGGTTGGTCGGCGGCGGCGACATCGGTGCGCGAGGCCTCGGAGTTTTGAATACCCCATTTGAGGAGGTTGTTTAGTCCTGGATCGTTCATGTTGTCGGATATGTGTTTGGTGTGCGGTTTCTTGTGTGAAGAAGGAAAACGGCTGCGGGGTGTGTAGACATTGAATAATTTTGGCGGGCCTTATGACCAGCAGCTTCGCGGACCTTCCATGGGACATGCTGCCCAACACAGCAACGCAGCTGTCAACACCATCAATCACATGGTGTCAACGTGACAAACACAACGGAAACGGCGTGTTTGTGTGAATTCTCGATGTTGACCTGAAATGACATAATCACGACATGCTAGCATCGAGACTTGAGTTGCTGCTACAAATGCTCGTTTGGCTAGGTGCACGTTGACTGCCCCTCCGCACACGTGACCAACCACCCGTCGTATTCGGAATGGGCGGGGATATGGCGAGTTGGCGGTGAGCAGCTGCGGATGGCTGGGGACTGACTTGTGCTTGCTCCCGACTTATGCATTCACAGCGCGCCGTCGAGAACACGTAGGTCCTAGTGGAGTGTCTATGATTGCTATACGCCAAGGATTGAACACCGCTGCCTGGCGGTCTGGTAGAGTTGACGTGCGTCGACAGCAGCTTTCTTCATGCTGTGGCGGGGAGCTTGCGTACTCTCCAAGTGCGTACCACCAGGGCAGAAGACGATGACTCTAGGCTGCACAATTCCGCCAACAGATATAAGATAGCCAATGCTGTGATCGTCGTGAGCCGACTGCCCAAACGCTGAAATTATACACAATCCCCTTTAGGAGCCGCCCGTTCGTGCAAAGCCTCCTTCGCGCCTGCGCTCCTGCCACCCCGCTAAATCTGGGCAAGGCCGACCCGCTTATTTAGCACACCCAGTTCTTGCCTCTGCGCACCAGAAACCTCAACCTCAACACCGCCGCCGAACTTGTAAGCTCCCCGAACACCTCCGTACCCTTTTTACTTTTTCACCGCTAGCTGCATCTCTGAGCTTAAACACTGACGCTCAATTGCTCCAGCGACTCTACACAGACACCCTTCTACAACTCCACGTCTACTCTAATCTCACCCTAATCAATCAACATGGAGGGTAAGCAAGCTCCACCCCTACCGCCCCGTGTCCTAACCATCGCCGTCCACCCTACTCTCTATCTCAATGAGCTCTGCTAACCTCTATTGCCTACTACAGAGGAAGTCGCAGCCCTCGTCATCGACAATGGGTGAGTTGGCACCGCCGAAGCCCAACACCGCCATCCCTGCTGTGGAGGGGCTATCCGCGCCCTCGCCTTATCCGAGCCGCGACGAATCCGTCCACAGCAGCGCGCGAAGGGGCAGAGATGAAACGAGCTTGAGCTGACAGTTGACAGTTCGGGTATGTGCAAGGCCGGTTTCGCCGGTGACGATGCGCCCCGAGCAGTCTTCCGTAAGTACCTCCATCTCCGCCTTATCAGCCAAGGCTGCATCAAGCGCGATTCGAGAGCACTTTCTGACAGCTCGCAGCTTCCATCGTCGGCCGACCGCGTCACCATGGGTACGATGAAACTCCCGTAATTCCCACGCAATCCGCCATCTAACAACACATAGTATCATGATTGGTATGGGCCAGAAGGACTCATATGTTGGTGATGAGGCACAGTCGAAGCGTGGTATCCTGACCCTGCGATACCCCATTGAGCACGGTGTCGTTACCAACTGGGACGACATGGAGAAGATCTGGCATCACACTTTCTACAACGAGCTGCGTGTTGCCCCCGAGGAGCACCCCGTCCTGCTCACCGAGGCTCCCATCAACCCCAAGTCCAACCGTGAGAAGATGACACAGATTGTTTTCGAGACCTTCAACGCTCCCGCTTTCTACGTCTCCATTCAGGCCGTCCTGTCCCTGTACGCCTCCGGACGTACCACCGGTATCGTTCTTGACTCCGGTGACGGTGTCACTCACGTTGTCCCCATTTACGAGGGTTTCGCTCTTCCCCACGCCATTTCCCGTGTCGACATGGCTGGTCGTGATCTGACTGACTACCTCATGAAGATCTTGGCTGAGCGCGGTTACACCTTCTCCACCACTGCCGAGCGAGAAATCGTCCGTGACATCAAGGAGAAGCTCTGCTATGTCGCTCTCGACTTCGAGCAGGAGATCCAGACCGCCAGCCAGTCCTCCAGCTTGGAGAAGTCCTACGAGCTTCCTGACGGTCAAGTCATCACCATTGGCAACGAGCGTTTCCGTGCTCCTGAGGCTCTCTTCCAGCCTTCCGTCTTGGGTCTTGAGAGCGGTGGTATCCACGTCACCACTTTCAACTCCATCATGAAGTGCGATGTCGACGTCAGGAAAGACCTGTACGGCAACATTGTCATGGTATGTTACACGCTACAATCCTGCAAAGCACACAGCTAACAGCAACTAGTCTGGTGGTACCACCATGTACCCCGGTATCTCCGACCGTATGCAGAAGGAAATCACCGCCCTCGCCCCATCCTCGATGAAGGTCAAGATCATCGCTCCCCCGGAGCGCAAGTACTCCGTCTGGATCGGTGGTTCCATTCTTGCTTCGCTCTCCACCTTCCAGCAGATGTGGATCTCAAAGCAGGAGTACGACGAGAGCGGTCCCTCCATCGTCCACCGCAAGTGCTTCTAAGGTACTGGCAGTCATGCGTCCGAACGATTCATCGACTGACGGTTTTCTTCCTAGCGTGTTCCTGCGTACGGTTCTCGAAATCATGACAAGCCTAGTAGCGGGGGCATCCTTGTATTGGCGCCTTGTTATCCCGGGGTTTTACACATGTCGATTGTCCACAAAATAGCACAGCGGGCCAATGGTTGGGTGTTTGAGTTATGGAGGAGCTTGAGCTCACACGAAGGTGTAGTAAGGATCTTAAGATTGTAGCTTAGAGCCTATGGACACTTTCATATCCCTTACAACTTGTGGTCATCGATGATAATAATGTGATAACGTGAAGACGGTCTCAGTGACTATCCATTCGTGAGCACGTGTCCATCTCAGAACAAGTTTGCATGCATACAAATAAACAGTTCAGCCATAATTGAGACGCGTCTGGTTTGTGTCTGCAGTTCGACTAGAGTAACGGTGTACAGACCTGGAGACAGGTGGTTGGATACCCCTGCTAGCGCGGAAATTGAGCACCGGCAATCGGAAAGGCAACAAGCGACGCGCTCCTCTACAAAATGCTTACCTGCAACCTACAATCTCACGTATGGCATGTCATAATACGACTCAGGTATCCGTGTAGGCTTTGCTCCGTTACGTCGTACCGCCGCCTTGCTCCTATGCCTTTTGTCTTCTACGTCGGGCCGCTGAATCTATCGACACGATTTTATCCGAACTCCAATCAATTACGGAACTGTTGCATCTAAACCCACCTCTACTTGGCATCAGTCTTCGCAATGCCTACATCATCTACCAATGTCGATGCCTTCCCATCCGCTCAATCGAACGATGAGACCACGCCTCTCTTGACCCACGTAGATCCCACACCCATAGATGAGTCCGTCGATCCTTCAGGGCAGCAAGATTATCTTGAAGATGACGATAACGACAAGAACAAACCACTACCCAAGGCGCAGATCTTTCTTCTGTGTTATGCCGTTTGCGCGGCGCCTATTTCCTTCTTCTCCATCTTTCCTTACATCAACTTCATGATTGAGAGGGTAGGAGGTGTGGATAAAGAGGATGTTGGGTTTTACTCGGGATTGATCGAAAGTCTGTTCAGTGCCACGCAGATGTGTGTCATGATTCTCTGGGGAAAGGTATGTGACCTTAGTCTTGCTATGGGTAAAGGATCATTGCTGACATAGTCTTCAGGCCTCTGATCGATATGGAAGAAAACCCGTGCTAGTCATCTCATTGTTGGGGTTGACTGTCGCCACGGTTCTCTTTGGTCTAAGCAGAACCTTATGGCAGATGGCGCTATTCAGGTGCCTGGGTGGGGTGTTTGCCGGAACAATCGTCACTGTCCGAGCCATGCTCTCCGAGAACAGTACCAAGCATACGCAAGCACGAGCCTTCAGTTTCTTCGCTTTCGCTAGCAATATGGGGATTTTTGTTGGCCCGCTGATTGGTACGTAACTATATAACTACTCGCAGTTGAAGGTAGACTAAACGCAAATCTACAGGTGGTGCACTCGAAAGCCCAGCGGACAAATTCACATCGACCTTCGGCAAGACGCAATTCTGGCATGATTACCCTTACTCACTACCCAACATCGTCGTATCAGTTATTGCCCTCTCTGCAGCGATTACAACCATGCTGTTTGTCAAGGAAACTTTGAATATCCACGGCGATAGGAAGAAGACCGCAAAGTCTAACATGTCTACATGGGAGCTTATCAAATATCCTGGCGTTATGCGAGTACTTGTAGTATATAACTACGTGATGCTCATGGCATTCACCTTCACGGCTGTCTTTCCAGTTGCCCAGTACACACCTATTAGCATGGGCGGTCTTGGCTTTACAACAGAGCTTATTGCTGCGTGTACAGCACTAAATGGAGCTTCTCAGGCAGCCTGGCTGCTTATTGCATTCCCTTTACTGCACAAGCGGATAGGTACCGGTCGTGTGCTCTGGCTTTGTGCATCAGCCTGGCCTGTTCTCTTTGTTGTCGGTCCGGTGTACAATGTTCTACTTCGGTACGGGCATACTGCCATTTTCTGGGCTACCGGACCGCCCGTTATAGTTCTCGCAAGTGGGGTTTCGATGGCATTTAGTAAGTATCTATTCCTATGCTGATGGGCTACGTCCACTAACTTATACATCAGCTTGTGTTCAACTCGCACTTAACGACATTTCTCCCTCACACGAGACTCTTGGGACGCTTAACGCTGTCGCACTTGCTGCTCAAAGCGGCATTCGGTCCGTGGCTCCGGCTCTCGCAACTAGTGTCTATGCCATCGGCGTCAAGTATCGTATATTTGGTGGTCAACTTTTCTGGCTTTGCCAAGTCATTTTGGCATTTGGCTTGTTTGGACTTCTGAAGCTGCTTCCTGCGAAGGCGAGAGGGGATGTGAAGCCAAAGCAGTCGAACGGTAGTGCTTGATACGTCTGTTTAGTATAAAAGGTTAAAGAAGTTTCTATCTGCACCGCCGTACCTGCTGACATTGTCAAGGGCAAAAGATTACATGTCGTATCTGTTTCTCCTTTCCGGTCATCACAGACTCCAGTCTGTCTCTGCTATCTAACTAGCTGATCTATCTATTCACTACTTGTCCTTCCCCTATACCCTCGCTCTCTCGACTGGTACCTCATTGAACTTCTCTGGCTATAATTTATTGCACCTGCGATACCTAGATCGCTCATTACTACCTCAAACTGGAAGTCAACCCTAACAAATTGCTTGTATGGAAGAGCGACGACCATTGAAAACAATTTCGCCGTCATTTAAAGTCTTGTTGTTGCTTCTCTTGTGGTAGTCGGTCGTACCTATGCGCTTCTTCGCCTCCTTGTCGCCGAACATAGAATACAAAGAAGTAAGTTTTCGATGAATTATGCCCCAAGTTTATTATATCCTAAACGTATGTGCTGCATCTTGGACCAAAATAGTGCAATACACAACGTCAGCTTAATCTTAGGGTGTGATGTTGGTGGAGCACATCGGATGGAAAACGAGGTACTCCGTAGGGGCCGTGGGGGAGAATGAGCCCAGTCATCGTCGGTACGGACTACAATTAGCTCTAATCCTCACCTCTTATCTAACGACTTTAATCGATTTCCTTATCTGCCCATATATTGACCCTCCACGACTAGGTTTAGAGGCACAGCTGCCAAGCTTATGCCATTTGACGCTGTCGCCTCTACCTTATATTTCGCCAAACGTAGCTCTGTCCAAGTCATTACTCGCGCTCTTGACTGCTCGACTATGGACTCGTCAACGTTGTTACACTATAGCTTGAGGGATTTGTTGGACCCCACAAACTACCATACGCTTTCTGTCTCACATCTGGGCCCAAGGAGATCATGTTTAGTAAGATTACATCTCAGCCTGACATTGATAAGGCTGAACGGTGGAAAATATTTCTTCTATGCAAACAGGCCCAACGCGATGAATCCGACTACGTTTAGTGCAATACTCACTACTTTGATAGTACAGCAATGACGAACTGTCAGAGTCTGTTAACTCCATGTTTTACTGGCGACAGGAAGCCATGTTGTACTAAGCTGTTATGGATGATGATCAAGACCTTGAACAATCTGTAGGTGCCTGGTGGTTCCCACGAGGCTGGACTGTTCAAGAAGTTATTGAGCCTAAATTCTCGACGTATTGGAACTCTACATGGTAAGAAACTGGCGTTCTAGAGGCTTTGGTAGAAAATGTCTCAATTGGAATGATTGTTGACATGAGATTTTTGCGTGGCGCAAAAAGGCTGATCTACGTTCGCGGGAAGAGCTTCGCCAATTGACTAGCATGGGCAGCCAACCACAATGCGGCAAATGCAGAGAATACTGCATACTGTCTCATAAATTTTCTGGACATCATTTTGTCACTGCTCTATAGGAAAGGAGGCATCAAGGCGTTCGGTATATTGCAAGAAGGGTACCTCAGAAGCAATCATGACCAATCGTTTCTCACCTTGTGGCTTCCTTCAAATGACAAACTTTGGATGTTTTCGGGCGTGCACCTCCTTGCTGGTCACCCTAAATACTCTCAAAGATACAATCAGATATCACTGACTAGTGAGGGTTGTTGCACCATTCTCTTTCGACAACCGAGGGCTCCATATTAGGCTACTAGTCTTCTGAGGTCAGTGTATCAAAGTCGGGAGAAGTCCTCGATACGTTCCTGTTTGTGCTTGTTATCAGCAAGGTAGGCCTGCGTATCATGCTACATGCCTTTGTCGCTTGTAGAAAGATCTGCCAGAATATTTTCGTTCTCACGAAGTGACAAGTACTGTATCCATCCAGGAACCCATTTCGATAAAACACGCTTGCATAACTGCTATAAACCCAGAGCTCACAGGCGCTTCAGAGCCCAAACGCAGTGAATCGAGATTTTAAACGACTTGCTAAGCTAATGGAGATGAGAAACCTTTTATCTCAACATTTCCACTTGAAATCCTCCTCTAGTAGGGTTAAGGTAATTCTTGATCAACAAAGATAAGCCAACTATGAAATCATCTTCCGTGTTATACCTTAGCCTCTGAACACGAGGAACGATGACGAAAAATGGACTGAGTGTAAGGATTACAGTTCGAGAGAGTATCGAGATTCAGGCACGGTATGATGCAGAAGCAAGCATCTGCGTTCGACCTTCCTGGGAGTGTGTCTTGGACAAACCCAAGTGACTGTCCAACAAACGAACCTCGGAGAAGCCGTACAAATCAGAACCTCGTGTCATACCCATACCTGGCCGGGCACCAGTGACACTCGATGGAACAACCTCTTGAGAGCGTGCCTCTAACCAGGATACGTTGTCTCTGTTTGTCGGAATGATGGTAGAAGACGGTCGTCTTGCGCACATGTTGCGTGCATATCCAGCCAGTATGTTCGAGTCACTCCTGACCACAGATCCATTGGTCCGCGGTGTCTACTCTACAATAGTCATTTAGCTGTTGTCTCCATCGCATCGGTTCGAGTTGTGGTCGGTGGGCACAATAGCTACAGGAATGTATGAAGCGCTTTCGATAACCAAACATAACTCGTTAATGAGAATGAACATAGAGAGGTATCTTGACTCTTCACAGTTATTATTGCTCTTCTGATACTGAGTCAAGTGTACTTCAACAACTACAACGTCTCGTACCACACTACGAACAAAGTGGCCGGACGTTTGCTTTCGGCCTGCGGGCTCACAGGATTCGTAGGGTACGTCATGGAAAATTGAAATTTGGGGTTGTTGAAAGAAGCAGGATCTTGGAATCGAAACTGATGTTACCTAGGTACTTGAAAGCGAACGAAGGATTTCGGCATCACATTTGAGAAGCTATTAGCCGGACAGACAGCTCTTACATTTCTAGATACATGGACATAGAGTCGCATAATATGTATTCTCGAAGCCTTTACTGAGTCCGATAGCAACAACTTGAGAGATACTGGTTGGTATATACCTTCAGGATCCGCGTCTCTAGCAAATCATCACGTGGAAAAACCGAGGTGTAATGATCGCAATTAGTAGTCATTGTATCGCGTAAAGGAAGACGCGTTAGTCCACATCACTCATATACCTACCTTGCTGCATCGAAGTTACCAAGACCTGCGTAAATCTCTAAACTACAAAGATGTACAACACCACTGCAACCGTCCACGTCATCCCCAAGAAGCAAAGTAACATCTCTAACGGCCCGTCTCGGCGTTATCCAACCGCGCCGACAACAACACCACATAATCTCATGACGTCTTAAACCCACACGGAAGCTGAAACACGTGCAGTTACGATAAGGCTGCCTAAGCTCGCATGCTTGCACCAAGTTGTGATGCTTGCATACCCAGCCCAGCCCCAGCCATCGCTTATCTGAGCCCCCGTGCAGCAAGCATATCGGCGTGATGACATCGAAGGCGGGATGATCACACAACACAGACCCCAGAAACACGCGATTATCTTGCCCAGACTACACCCCAGCCGCTCACGGACACATGCTCGTTCATCACTCCGTTGGATCGACATTGCGCCTGCGACGCAAAAGGTTGCGGCTAAAAAGTCCCAAAGGAGTCAGCGCACGGCTTGCGATGTATGTGAACGTCCGGAGGACGATCAAACGTCATGCATGGTGATGAACAGTCGCTCTTTGCGCCGCGGGTATTATTGTTTTGAGTTTTACTTGTTCCGTGTTCGCGTCGGGGGAACGATGTGCGGGCGCTTTTATTGAAACTTGTGTCAATACGCGACGAAAACTCGATCTAGGTAGTCACTGCCGTTCGCTAAAGGCGAAACACTCCGCGCCTTGGCTCGTCGCAAAACAAGGGCAACACAAGCAATACGCAAGCATTCTTTCATCGTCACTTGGTATCAAGCAGACAGGGCAATCATCAAGACAAGACAAGACGCGAAGGAAGACGCGACAAGCGTCGTCACCACGCGATCATCAGCATCATCACCACTACGACCCACGGCGTGCAACACTCCATGTCACCGCCCAGCCGCGATGCGACGAGATGGATAACTAAAGGTTTAGTGCCAACCGTCACGGAGGCTCGGCACGCTATAAGGCCACCCAATATAACGACAGGATGCGAATACGTTATACTGAATACGCTCAATGGCCAGACTTTGCAATTAGTCTTTCGGTGCCACCGTAGTGATCTTTACATAGCACAATTGGAATACGATACGAGAAGTGAGCACATCTTCATCTGCCAGTACTGGGTACCAATTAGCGCAAGCCAATGGATTTGATCGCTTGACTTCATCATACATGTCCTAATCCGACTAAGCGTTACGCAGCCAACCTCGCAGCACAAGTATGTCATGTTTGGCGATAGCTTGCATGAGCCTATCCAGCCGTTGCATTAGGGACGACGCGATGGCGTGCAGCTGTCTTTACCCCGCTTGGTCGCGAGTACAGCAGCTACCACAAACAACCCCGCATGCCCTTGTGATTGCTCCACGGAGGTCGTAGGTGGCTTGCATGCTATGTGCCCAGGTATCTTTCTTATCAATGTTGTGTGGATGGACATAAGCCAGGAAGGCGAGTGACGGGTGACTAGCGGCAAATGTTGGCAAGGCCGTGAATCTTTCCGATGTGCTAGGGTTCTGTGGAATAGCAACTCCAAAGTTTGAACAACAGACGATTAGTGGAACTATTATAGTTCATTCTTCAAGTCTAGACAAGTAGAATGCGATGTGTAGATGTGAGTTAATTGAGACATAGTTTTTTGAAGCAGCAAGGACATGTTCACAGCAATATTTTCGATTGGGGTATTAATTGAGACAATGAAATTATGCTTCTTGGTATACATGAGAAGACTAGCAAGACGTGATGAAAAATTAACCTTGCTTTCAGGTGGGCTCATCAATCCCGTACAAATATCCAAATACACATCGCGTCATAACTGGACGACGACCCTAATTTACTCATCATCCTCCTCCTCAACAGCGCGGGGAGC